CTGGCCCAGGCTGCCCAGGGAGGCTGTGGAGTCTCCTTCTCTGGAGATATTCAAGACCCGCCTGGACAAGGTCCTCTACAGCCTACTGTAGGTGACCCTGCTTCTGCAGGAGGGTTGGACTAGATGACCCACAGAGGTCCCTTCCAACCTCTACTATTCTGTGATTCTGTGATTCTGTATTAGAGAACAGCGAATCAAAGTACAAGAGGCAAATTAATAAGAATAAAGCTTCATTTAATTCTGCAGTTCTCAGATCTACTGCTTCAGCTTGTGTGTAGCTGCTGTTACGATTTCTGGTTGCGTGGCAGACATACTCGCCATCGAGGTGTTCAGAGGTCTCTTGAACTCTATGCAGAGGGAAAAGTCTAAAGTTTAACTCTGAAACTCGAGGAAGGGGATGGAAGAAACAAATAGTGTCTTAAAGATTTCTTTCATGGAAAACTGTATGCAATTAATTTCCTGAAAATGGTTGTTGAACCACCTTAATTTTAGTTCTGTCACTCTGAATCCCAGCCCACTCCCAATCAGCTTAGTGGCAGAACTTATCTAACCATTTTTATGGAGAATTGTGGTGGATGGTAATTATTTCCAAAGACATCTTGAAAGCTTTTAATGTAGCTCCTTTTGACTGTTCCTGGGAGTTGGGCGTCTAACTCAGTAAAAACGAATTAGAGCTGTAGTTTACGTGCACAAAATCAGTGTGGGATGAGACTGCAGGGAGAAGCCCACGCAGTTTCAGGAGATCAGCTAACTCAAAAGCTCTTTGTCAAGAAGCAGGCGGTTCTGCTCCCGTTCCCCTTGACGAGATGCTCTCGCTGCTGGTTTTGTGCTGGCTTTGGAGCCCGTCAGATCCTTTAGTGAGCTGTTGTGTCAGCCTGGTGCGGCCAGCCCGCAGACCAGCCCTCTGAGGGCTCGGTGGGTCGAGCTGGCAGACGAGTCCCACGTGCCCGAGCAGTCGGGGAGGAGGCAGTGAGGAGGAAGGGGGGAGAGCAGGAGCCCACCGCAGCAGCGCAGCGTCTGATCAACGTGAAGTGGCGTGGGTTTTAGCACGGCATGTGTGTTGTTGCAGTGTGTGTTTTGATCGTCTCACCTGAAGTGGCCAAAAAATGAGGTTCTTTTATGAGGCTCCTAGGTTAATTTAAGGAATTCAGACCTATGCCATCATCCTGCTTATTCTTCCAGTAGCTTTTCAAGGCATTTGCCAGTTTTAACCACATTTGAGAGATCTGCAGAGATGTAGTAATACTGTATTGTATTTTAACATAAAACATGCTAATTTCAATCCTGAATTGATTCAGGTGTGCGGTAGTTGGCTGAGAAACCTATAATGAATTTTCATTTTAATACTGGAAAAGAATTTCATTTTAAACTGTTTCTTGAATGTAGTAGAATGCTTTACTTTTTCAGGGGTTTTGTTTGTGGGGTTTTTTTTCCCCTACCCATTGGGATGCAGAGGAAACAGAATTTCATTTTAGAATGTTTATAGGAAAAAAAATCTAAGCTCTGGAATAGCTGAATAAGGAAAACTGAAACACTCTCAGTGACCTTAGTACAATGTGTCCTGTAGCTAGAAGCCTGAGTAACACCCAGTTCAAGCTTCCACATGTCTAAGGCTCGGGCGTCGTGGTCTGACAGCTTTTTGTTATTAGAATTTGGCTTTGTCTGATTGCTGTCTTTGTTACAGATTGGTGCTGTTCCTTTAGCTGCTTTAGGAGCTCCTGCTCTTGATCCTGCCCTAGCTGCTCTTGGGCTTCCTGGAGCAAACTTAAACTCGCAGGTATGTCACACGTTCTAGAATTTCCTTTATTGTCCCTAGCACAGATGTAGTTTGAGTAGCATACGTCACGCTCTTGGTGTTCACCAGTGTATTAAATAACAGGCTGAAGATCTGGAAATACTATATGTAGGTTTGAAGAAGTGTTACAAAATAGTACTTTCTGTTAAAGGCTTGGCTCATTGTAGTCTGCACAGGCTGCTGGTTGTTAAAACTTCTTGGACTCGCTACAGAACGCAGTCTTTGTTTCTTGGCATAGCAGGTGTATAAATGAGCACTTTTCTTTTGCTACCCTCTTCACTGTTTTAAAAGTAGTTTTCATTTACATCAGTTTAACAGCCACTGTCTGAAAAATCCAGTGATTGATTTTTCTGAGCACCTGTTTGGAATAAATAGTATCTACAGGAGTATCAAATTAAATGCCAGAAGGACCTGAAAAATAATTTGGGACTACTAGTGAAGTATTTCAAATGTGTGTCGTTGTCAAGCTATGACCCTGTCTTGTACTTAGAGTAAAAAAAAAAAAATTGTTTGACTTTTTAAATTTTGTAGGTGTAGAAAATACAGAGGAGACCACGTTAGACTGTAGTCTCTTTAAAACTGAATTTAAAAAGACTTTTAAGTACTAAGTAATAGTGAGTAGAATATTGAATTAATATTTAAGATGTAAGAACCAAATACTGCACAGAGAAGATGTTTTACAGGTACAAGAAGTGGTAATAATTCACAGCATTGGTAAGAAATCCATCGTTTGGCATTCTCTTCATGCATACCATGTGTTGTGACAAGCAACTAACGGTGGTAATGAAATAACAAATGAAAAAATAAGCATTCTAAATGCATATTAGAAAAACATATATTTGGTACAATGAGGGATTGTTTCCTTTGTCCATTAAGCCCCCTGATTGTAACAAACTGGGGTCAGCACGTGGCGCTCTGTGGACAGGGAGTTAGCGGGGACTAAACGTTTTGTTGTTAATACACCACTGGTACAGGAAGTGACCAATTGCAACAATATCTGGATTTTCCTAAGAGCTGTAAAATACTTTTTTTCATGAAGTTTTTAGAGTAAAGAAGCTTTCGCTTGACACTGAGGACTTCCCATGGGCAGTAGCTTAGTTCTCTCATGAGGCCTCTGTTCTCTTGAAGTAACAGCAGAATAACCTGTAAATACCAGCAGTGTGTTTTTATTTTCAAGTGCTTTGATTCTGTCCAGGAAAGGGCCTATGTGTGGCTGCTGTGGGAGGAAGAAGTACCTGAGCACCACTGAAACGTGGTGTTTGCACCCTCCGCACATCCACAGGTGTTAAAGCAGACCAGTATGCCTTTTCGTCTGTAACTGGTTTGGGGTGTGTTTTGGTTTGCTTTTTGCATCTGTAGAGGCTTTTTGCTTTAGCCACTGCTGAGGGTACATTCAGGGGAGATAATCTTCTGAAGCATACACAACTTCCCACGTGGTTTTAACTTTTTGGTTTTTTCTTGCAGTCTCTTGCGGCCGATCAACTGCTAAAACTGATGAGCACAGTGGATCCAAAGTAAGCATCAGTGTTTACAAATATTTGTATGGTGATACCCTCGGTCTTGGGAATATCTGTTGTGATTCAGTGTCAGTCTTTGTCCTGCTGGATCTAATTACAGTTGGAGAAAACCAGCGTCTTGGGGATCTTGTGCAGACTCTTTGCTGTGGTAGAGAGAAGAGGGGAGGGGGAAATAAAGATTATTCAGCCTTGCATCTACGGAAGAACACCAGTCGCTCTCTGAGATTTCATTTTGCTAGAGACAGAAATCTGGATTTTCAGATGTCATTTTTATCACTCTGTGTCCGTAACGCAACGGCGCAGCGAGCGCCTTCGTCCTGCGAGGCTGAGGAAGGGGCTGGGGCAGGGGCTGAGCCGAGGCCGGCGGCTGTTCTGACTTACTACATGGTAGAAAAAGGGAGCAAAGAACAGTAAGCACTAGTATCTAATCTTTATTTCGGCGTTCAGAAAAAGGATAATTCTGTTCAAGCTAGTACGGTGTGGGGACAGCAGGAGGGAAGGATCGTAGCACTCGACGCGTTCGTGTGCCGTTGAGCCGCTGCGGGCACTGCGCTAGGAAGCTGAAAGCGTGTGCCACTGAAGAAAGCTGTTAGGCACACCAGTAGGTGAGAAGTGTGCTGAGAGCAGAGAAACCACATCTGTGATCTGCTGCAGAAAGCCCTTGTGCTGCAAACTGCAGGCGGCTTGGAGAGAATCCTTCCAGCTCTCGGCTCCGGGAAGCGTGCCGACGTGCGCTTGCCCTGCTGCTGCGTCGGCTGAAGAGGCTGGCGCCGCCCCCGGCCGTGTTCCTCGGTTTT